ATGAGTTGTCCTTTTTGTTCTGTATACAGACATGTATAACACTTTGATGAATACCCCACTAATATCATTTTGAAAAATGTAAAGCCACAAAGTCAACATATTTCAATGTGTTTGTAACAATTTTTCGAACAGTAATAGGTACAAATGGAAAAAGACTCGGAAAAAGACGTGACAAACCATGGATCATAAGAATTGTTCGAAATAACTTCCACCATTTTGTACACATAGATTGACTCTAGTTGATATCTGTAACGTTGCTCTTCTTACCATTTCTGGCGTAATTGACTGGAAAGCTACAACATTTTTTTGTCTCAGCTCTCTTAAATCTGTGATGGGATTATCGTAGATCATATTTTTTAAAGCACCCCACAGAAAAAATTCCAATGGATTCAAACATGGAGATCGAGGCGGCCATCTTACTGGACCGTTAGTTCCAATCCATCGTCTAGGAAATCGCGCGTTCAAATAGTCCTGTACAAGAGAAACGTCTCTGAGGCATCGTTTCTTGAATTAAATAAGGATTTTGTTGAGCATAGATGTGTGTATTCTTTCTGTTGAATATTCCGCAATTAGGAAAGGTACTTTCTTCGCTCCATAAAATGTATTTTGGTGAATCATTATTGCGAGTCAAACATCTATTGAACCACTCACAAAAAGCAATTCTTCTTGCAGGATCCCCTTGATGTAGAGTTAGAAACTTTTTGAATTCATAGTCATGCTATTTGTGCTTCTTTCAAATACGGTTGGCTGTCGTTTTTGACGTATTGCATAAACGAGCAAGAACATTCACTTCACTAACTGTGTGTTGAACCTGGTATCTAGTTCTTGCTCGATTAACAATTCCATATCTATAGTCATATTCATAGGAATTCGTTGAAAGTTTTTTTGCTGGGTTAAATTATTGTTGTATTCATGAAATGATGAGTGGAATGTGCAACAACTCGCGTTTCTCTTTATGGAAACAAACTAATGCGTCAAATCCAAGAAACATACTTAATTTGTTTTTCAAAGAAGTCATATACTTCGATAATCATCAATAAAGTTATTGTATTATAAAGGGTGTTTCAAATTTCAGTATCACGATTTCGAGGACTCATTTTTCAGGACGAAATAAGACTTTTTTCTATCAATATGTCCGCAAACGCTCCGTTACCTTTATACAAAGCGTTAAAGTTTTAAGATATTTTTATTTTTCAGGTAATATTTGGAAACTTGTATTGAAGATCACGAACTAAATAATATGTAGCATTTTTTGTTTTAATTATGATACTGTAGGTTGCAGATGCGTAAGAATTACATGAAACAATAAAGTTTATGAACAATAAGACAATGAACTCATTCCATATTTAAAATATACAATAAGACAATGAACTCATTCCATATTTAAAAAAAAACAGTGGCGCACCACAAAGAAGTTTATCGACCTAAAAAATGCTTGACCCCTGAAAAATATATGTCCCTGTGGATTCTTACATTCACTCGACATACTGTATGATGAGGACCCTGAAAGGTAACCTATGTTTCAAATTTGATATGAATATTTCGATAACTAAAAGAGCTATAAAGAAATAAATACTAGTTAAAAAAACTCAAAAAACACCCTTTTATAGATAGCCAAACTAGAAAGAAAAGGAAGAAAGAAAATAAAATAGTAAAAGTGTGTTGATAACTACACAACATAGAAAATATAAGCACCTCCGTAATCTTTATCTCCGACCTCGAAAATCTCTAGATACCAATGTTGAATAGAATCGGATTATAACCTTTATACTTTGGATCCGCCATTTCGAATTTTAAAATTTTGACGAAAGCATCACAGGTATAGCTCACCCCTATAACTTTATGACGGGAAATGACCATGAACAAATGACTGCCGCCAGAAATTACGATTATTTTCTTATTTTAAATGGGACACCCGGTATATTTCAACTTATTTCGATAGAATATCACATATTGTGAGTACAATGACACCCCATTTGCCATTTTTTGACATTTCTCATCCTGAAATTTTCAATTTTCAAGAGGGTACCATAAATGAGTTAAAACAGTTGATATAGAATCAACTTTTGCCAAGGATAAATAGTTTCGATGCAGTTTCACTTTTCATTTGTCTCGCAGGTTCATTCAAAATTCACAATATTATAATTATGATGGTGAACCAATTTTGTTACGAACACGTTGATACCACATAATAGATATTTTGAATCAATATCCAGAATCATATCACTCTAGATTGAAAATTGAAAAATAAAAATTTCAAGATGATGAATTTATTATATTCTCTATCAAAATGAGTAGTAGAAATATACTAGGTGTCCCATTTAAAATAAGAAAATAAGGGTAATTTCCGGTCAAACCGGAAGAGACATAAAACAATTGACTACTTCAAATAATGCATATTTATGTACTATACTATAATTACATACAGAATTTCATGTGTTTATCTGTAGAAAGAAAAAAGTTATATGGGTATATAATATTGTTATCACCCAATATTGTTAAATCAATATTTTGTTGTGAATTATGATACATTCTTATTTATCCACTAAGTGTTTTTTGTTTACGATTCATAATATTGTGTAGCATTGCGAGTTGCACAATGAAAGTGAGTGAAGAATATACAAGGAAAAAAGTTGTAGATTTTGAGCTCCAGGTGGTGTTGAGCTAAAATCTAATAATTTTCCCGTGTATAAATACACTATTTTTTTTCTGTGACAGGAAAAAGGACCGATCAGGCATGTTTATCATTCTTTTGACGTAATCAAATATCTGTCAGTCTAATTCAGTGATTTGATTTTGAAAAATTGCGAATTTACTGGTTGTTTAGTAATTTACGTAACCGCGAAGTCGAATGGAAGATAAAAGGTCTTGCAGTTTGCAGTTCTTTCTCGGAGCCGGTGTATGTTATCGACTCCAAAACAAGATGCCATTTCAGGTATAATGGGAGTGACTGGTAGCCCGACTGGGGGAGGTATTAAATGCTCAGATGCGTTTACGTTGGGTCAGGATCAGAATGCTATCTGGAACAGCCTTGCACTGATGAGAGCCAATTAAGAGCTCGAAACCGGTCTGTAGGTAGTTACGCGTTCCTGAACCACTTTGGCGCAGCTCGGCGTTTAGGAAGGAAACACTTGCTCCAAAACTTCATCGTATAGGCGAAAAATGAGTAGAGCTTTTTTTATAGTCAATTTTGTGTTATTGAATTTTGTATACCGGATGATAACGAAAACATTGGACAGGGGTCATTCAGTTGTTTTCATTTTAGACCTTTGACATTTGGATTCCTCGAAGAATATATAATGGAACCCTGTAGATATTTTTTACGCCGGCGGGAGTAGAGTTAGTTTCTCTGGTAACAGAAGAGGGGCAGAAGTCTCGTATTATTTCCTAGAGAGATAATGTGACATATTTTCTCCCTAGAGGGAGTTTATACCAACATCACATTTTCCGCATAGCTCTGCGCTTTTTTTTCGGAACACACCCTTCTCTGAAGCGAGTACAAGCTGCATCATACAGATTTCTAGATCTCACTGGTGGCAAGTTAAAAATCACTGCAGAAGCAATATCAATAGTTTCTCGGGGTTTTCCCTCGATTTCTTGTTCCATAACCGTTAACCATTTTCAAAGCTGTTTCATAAATTTCAGTTTGATATTTGCTGTCACCATGGGTTGTCAACGAGATGCATGTTGTCAAGATACGAATTCCACAAACTATACTACTATATACTATAATTATGACAAAACACTTTGACCACATTTTTATTCTTTTTAAATTTATGTATTTTCGCCAGCGTGAAAAATAGTAAATACATACCTCAGGACAGAATGCTATTTTTCCCTTAGTACTTATTCGCTCTCGCCCTCGAGCTACAAATCGCACCTTGGAAAAAATCTTGCATTTCTGTCCCTTGATGTATAATGTACTATTTCGCCGTTTCAATGACATAACAAGTGGACATATATTGTTTTCGAAATGGCGGGACAGGAGACAATTTTTCTGAAATTAATGTCGTGAATACACTGAGGCCACTCTTTGAAGGGCGTGTAATGAGATGTTTGAGGCACTCTAGTAGGAATATACTGAATGGGGACCTGATGAGAATGTATTGAATGTGGGTTTATAGTGGGAAGATACTGAAATGTGTTGATCAAATCTTTAATTTCTCATACAAGAAAAATGAAATGTCTTGAAAACAAAACAGGCGTTTTTCAACATCTGTCGATTTTTCAATTCAAATGGGTTATTTCGTAGACGAAAAATACGAAACAGAAGATTATATTCTGAAAATATTTCGATAATTTCAGTAGTGCAGCACAAGAATAATAATTATGTTGAAAACTGGCTCAAGGGAATATTAGCAAAGTATATCTGTCGACCCAAGAAAATTATCTCAGTACAGATGAAACCCTACATTTTTCATATTCCAATTGTTGATACACCTCGTGCAGTTGAAGCGGCTGCAGATAGGGGTTAAAATATAAGGAGACACCCTGTACATATAGAAGGAAATAATATGTCCTATAAGGGCTTTGATAGCATTTCCAGTCAATAAGAGCACTAACACCATTCAACAGCGACATGTTCTTTACATTTGCCGGTACATTTCATGCACCCTCTGAGAAGCGTATTTTTCACAACTGATAGTTCCTACTCAGGTTAGGTTTGAAATAAATAAACAGCTCTATTTTATGTTAATGTTTAAAATATCTATTAAAGCTATCATCAATCATGTGTTCACATCACATGAAATATAAAAAAATTATACATTTACCTACTTAATCTTATTAACCCATAACACCCTGATTTTGTCATTTTAGTTCACTGGTTCTCGTCTAATTGAATAATAACATATTTTCATTTATACAATAAATTATGACTGTTTCTCACGCTACCATAAGTACATAGCTTAGGACAATAAATAAACTCGGAGTAAATTACAATAATTCCATAATCGGAAACATTTTATATATCACATGATAATTTCAAAGCTCCTCTCAGGCTATCTCAATATCTGCCTGAAATCATCTATTTTATAAACACTATTGGATAATCTACCGAACGCATTGACCAATGACACAATTTCATTTCTCGACAGCTGAAATTCTTTTTTGTTATGCGAGTCCAGCTTTATATTATTCGCAACATTGTCCAATTTTCCGCTGAATAAAATTTTCAATGCAGTACCTAAACCTTGTATCTGCAACTTGCCCCACAAGCGACACTTGTCACAGCCCACGCAGTCCATGATTTTCGTGATGTTCCTGAAGTGTTGCTTGAACTCGTACTTGAGTTTTTCTGCTTGTTCCGTGTTTCGAAACATTGTGCTCTCATCAAAGTGGTCCGAGAAGGATTTGATGACGTTGAGGAGGTCTTTCATCGCCATTTGAGTGTCCCAGTCGTTTGGATCATTACCTGAAATCAGATTTTTAAATCAGGATGGAATTTTCACTTATAATTACACGAGAGCTTCTTTTTGTCCAAGTAAACTTGGCATGTATCAATAAGAATTTTGTGGACTGGCAATTTGACGAAAAAAACTCCCTCTGGCAGTTTTTTGAGTTGACTCACCTAATGGCAACAAAATTCGAATTATAAATGCCAAGTTTACTTCTACTAAAAAAAGCTAGAGTGTAATTCGGTAAGACAATTTAATTCATCAAACATTTTTTTTATGGCTAGTTGTCATGCTTTCAAAAGTAAGGTTCCGTTATTGTCGCTGGAAAAGTTAGGGCAAACTTTTTTCGCTGTCATAATGACAAAAACACGCAGCTTGTGGGATTTTTCATAGATTAATTAAATGGGCTTATATCACAAGAAAAAATTATTTCATAATTCGATAGAACTCACCCAAACTAGCTCACCACCGCAAACCGTTTCTCGCTGTGAGCTCCCTATGTTTTATAAAAAATTATTGGAATCCCCGATTTTTCGGACCTCTGAAAACGAGGCGATGATGTGACGTCAAAACCCTAATACTGAAACAAGACTATTCCAGACAGAAATGAATTATACATGATTTCTGGCAGAGTGAATTAGCGCGAGATCATAGTTGAAAGAATTAATATATCAGTTGCCTCAGTCTCCGTCGGACGTTTGGTATTTTCTTTCAACTATGGCGACATGAGGTTTCTACGTCATAAGAGGGTCCGTTTTCAGAAGGTACTATTATTTATGTCTAAAAATAAAACATTCCAGTTAATTTTTCGATCGAATTATGTCGTCAATCATTATTTATGTATAAAAGGATCATTATAAACATTGGTTGAGTTAAAAGTTCTACTAAGGTGTACACGCCCATTGTCGATGAAAAAGGTATAGCAATAATGAAACGTAATCTCGATTTCGACTTAACAACTTTAAATTTGAGTAAAACAGAATTCACCACTATAAACTACACTATGTCCTTGATAAGGATGTATATCATGAGATTGATGAAATAAACCTCTGGTGTACGCACTTCAATCCTTTCCTGTTTTACAATTCCTTGATTTTCGCCTACTTCGATGAACATAACATGGCGTGGGTGAATGTCGCTAAATTTAGTCTGGTGCCGTACCAAAATTACAGGCATCAATGTGACAATTGTGACCGAATTGTGACCAATGAAGATAGGGAATACATTTTGCGATTTAGCCGCATCAAGGTTGGTAGAACTGATGTTGATCATAAGTTCTAAGAATCACGCCATCTAACATTCGATATGTGAACCCCACGTCATCGTCTGAAATTCAATTGTTTATAACAAGAACCAGTCTGACGAAACAAATGAAGAGTGAGCGCACCAGAGGTTTATTTCATCAATATCATGAGGATAGTTTTAATTTTTTTCTGACGTTATTTAAAAAGATATAGGAACCAAACGACTTTCTCATCGCCACTTTTACGCTCTACAAAACAGCGTTGAGAGCAACGTCACGTGTTCTTTATTGATCATATTTAATAAATACAGCGTATACATCATTGAAATAGTTATTTATTATACAAGAGAAAAAGTTGTAGATTTTAGCTCCAGGTTGTGACAAAACAAAACACAAAAGGACTTGTAGTTCTTTCTGGGAGACGGTGTTATTGGCTTATTTTTCGGAACTATAGCACAACAAAAGCCATCAACAGTGTATGTATATGTGATATATATCCGGGAAAAAAGTACTCACTTTTTTCCCACGGGAAAAAAGTGATTTATGACAAGTGCATTTTGTAACCTGTAAACAGACATGAAATTTCAAACTTTTTTCCCATCACAGAAAAAAAAGGGTATTTAAAATATCGAAAATTATACAGGGCGCTGTTAGAAATAACCATGTTGAAGTGTAGACTCTCTCTTCTTTTGATGCATTTGCAGATAAAAAAATTGTGAACCCTTTATGGATGCTACTATGAAACATTTTGTATAATTACAATAATCTTTATGGAACATTGCAAGAAAAAAAATGAATGTTCCGATTATTTAATTAAAGAACTATATTATTATTGCGCTGATGCATTTCAACCTCCTGTACTCCTTCAATGAACCTTACTTGGGAGTATCTAAACTATGAATAGAATCAATGGAAACAATGTTCTTTGAAATAGTTGATCTTCCATCAGCCTCATTATATGAAGAAAATCATACTTTATTTTATGCAACAACTTACCGGTATAATATTCTTCACTTTCCAAATAAGGCGCCGCCTTAGCTAGAGCTCTCAACTCCAACAAATAAACGAAATACAAATTCCTCAACCAATTCGGTCCCTCTCCATTGGTAGTGTCGGGAGAGAACCTCTTCTGAAACTCCTCCAAATTCGGCCCCCATTTACCTTTGGGATTGGCGAGGCTCAACCCGTTACTTTCCGACAGAAGATAATTCGAGCACAGATGCGTGTTGATGCTGGCATGCAGTCCCGATATCGCCCTGTAGAATACCCGTTCTTCCAGGCACAGCTCGTTCAGCTTGGCGCTCTGTATGTAAGGGTTGAAATTGAATGACCTTTTCGGCCGGAAGCAGTTCTCGAGGTAGATAGTTTTCCAGATCCGGTGCGCCGATGCTCCTGCATAACTATAAAAAATGTCCATGATATTATTTGGATATACATTGGTCCGATTGTATACACTAGTCGAATGGGGAAGTTTCCTTCAGATGAATTTTCATAAAGTAAGTTCGGAACTCTCCAGTTTAATGTCCACGCTGTACAGAATGGCGACCGATAAAGTCCAAGTCGTTTTCATTTTCAAATTGAAGCAATTTCTGATTTTTGGGGCGGCAAACTGTGACGTACATTTTGAATCTATACCTTTTCAACTTCAATTTCGGAATCGGTAAGTTATATTTCGGAAAGAGTAATCTCGATTTCAGAATTGATTAGTTCGATTTCAGAAATGGTGAACTCAGTTTCAGAATCGGTGAGATGAATTTCAGAAAAAGTCCATTCAATTTCAGAAATGATAAGTTGTATTTCAGAATTGGTAGGTTCAATATCATAAAAAAAATCCTTATATTTGTTCGAAATGTTTCCAATTGCATGTGAGATTAACAAACAATATTCAAATTATTCAACTTTTCAAAAACAATTTAATCCACAGATGCCTTCCATCTGAATCGCTGGAAGATAGTGGCGTTGCACATGATTATAAGAATGCAAACACATTTGAGGTGTTATCATTTTCATTGAATGATCTGCACATTCTTCAAGACATCGCAGTCTGAATTCTATCTGGTTGAGCAATTTGTTCGGATCTCCAGCTATGACCCTTTGGCGATGCTCTTGCAAGAAGCTCTTCACTTCTGACTTGAAGGCACCCCATATATGTTCAATCTGATTCAACATAGGGCTCTCAAACACTGTAAACAATCTTCTCTTTTGCAATTAAAAACATTTCAAACATATTAAAGGATTTCATCTTCTGAAATTGAACGTACCAATAATAATTCTGAAATACAACTTACCATTTCTGAAATTGAATGGACTTTTTCTGAAATCCATCTCACCGATTCTGAAATTGAGTTTACCAATTCTGAAATCGAGATTACTTTTTCCGAAATATAACTCACCGATTCCGAAATTGAAGTTGAAAAGGTATAGTCTGAAAATAGCTGATGGTGGAGAATATAGCTAGCAAATAGCTAACGAATGAAAAACGATTGAAAAAAATAGAGGAAGAAGTAAAACTGGTAGACAAAAACATACATAACCACAAATGAACTCGGAGCAAGAATGCAGAGGGTAGTTGGCTTCATTCCGACAGGTTATGGTTTTGTTATTTATGCATTAAAATATCTTGGATTGAGCTCGATAATAAAAGGAAAATAGCATTGAATCAATGAATCACTATCAGCTACAATCAATGATACTATCCTTCCTAATTTACTGCCATGGGTCAGAACAGAATGAAGCCGACACCCATGACTCCTTCCTCTTTTTGTGCCTGTCAGTATTTTGAGTGCCACCTTACTATTAGAAACAGATTAAAACCCGACAGGACAGAACATAAAGATTTAAAATGATTATTTTTGAACATATCAAAGTTGAAATCACCACATACGATAAAATTAATATCAGGTTTGTACAATGAATCAAGTACTTCAGATATTTTATTAAGAAATATGAACTCCTAACGTCACCTTTTTCAGAAATTGATTGTGAGTAGTTGTTTCTCAACCTTTTTATCATTTACTTCAATATCTGAGAACATGTAGGCGAATACAAATAAAAACTACAACTATTTTATTGCTATCAATAACCATATATCGAAGACTGGAACCTTTGGCACGATAATACACTACACTGTTTTACCACTAACCAAACCGATTTTTTAACGCCTCGACACGTATGTTAGCATCTTCAGGAGAAGATCTTCTCCTGACACGTGTCGAGGCGTTAAAAAATCGGTTTGGTTAGTGGTAAAACAGTGTAGTGTATCAATAACCATAAAGATAATTTCTAATTTTCATTTCTGTGGGTACCACTATTTCTTATTTCTTGTTTTCAGTGTATTTTTTTGCCTCCTTATGTACTCAAAGCTATTCAAAACTTGAAAAATGAAACTACTTTTTCATAAACTATGAGGATCAGCCATTCCATTCCACAGTATTCATAAATGAAAGAAAAAACTCCAAGTAGGTCGACCACACTATATCAAAAAACTACAATTAGAAAGTGACCTGTTTCGGCACAACGGCAATCATCAGACTAAATAAGACCTGTTATGGGTCAGGAAAAACAAACAGTACTATTGACATTACCAAGAGTAACCTAATTTATGAGTACTTCTTCATATTCTAGATAATTATATAACCATTTTAAGGCTGAAGGACCTAGCTCCATAGCCAATAGAATTGATTAATAATAATGTAGGAATAAATAAACAATAAAGACATCACCAGTAGGAGTAAGCCAATTGAAATTCAAAGTGGTAAATGCTGTATTTTTTTACTTGTTAATTGTTGCAAGAGTAGTGGAATTGCGGGAAGTGTGTCTGACTGTCACCCAGGCGACCCAGGTTCATGTTTCGAAACGATTTTAGTATTTGGAATATTTATGTCAAGTAATTTTTGGAGGCAAATGCTAATTGCATATTACAAAGATGATTGAGTTGCTAACAAATAAACATTTCTCTGGTATTTGTTTGTATATGCTTACTCTTACTAAATTCTAGTTATAATGTCAAAATAGATACCTACCCTGTAAACCTTTCTGGATTCAACAACAGATCGACGTACTCGGCCTCTTCATCGTTTTCATCTATTTCGCAAAAATTGTCTTGTGCATCGTCATGAGCATTCCACAGCTGTATGTCTTTCTGAGCTTTTTCTGATAGCGTCTTGTTGAGGTAGTCTAATGTATTGTGTTGTGATGTACACCCTTCATTTTGGTCTCTGGCATACTTATCGGCAGGGCTGGTCTGGAGGTGGGTTTTCTGAGAGTTGTTGTCTTTGGTAGCCCCTTTCAGGCCTTCTGGGATTTCGTGTGCCAGGCACGGCTCGACGTGGCAATACCGCATGGCGCACTTGCTGTCGTCCGACCAGAAGGGACATGGCCGTTTCAAGTTCACCTGTATACATAGAAGAGAACCGTCAAGTGTTTCTGTTTTGACTGACTGATAACAATAGCTCAACATCCCAAGGTTGGGCCCAGGGTCTCTCACATCACTTGGGCAATCCCTTTATTCAGAAATAGTTATTTGTACCTATAGAATGGTGACCGTTGAATATGATTTCTGGTGTTGAGTTAGCGGGAATTCGGTCGAAATGTTGAAGAAAACCAATTGTTAAATTGTCGACGTTTCGAAACTTTATTGTTTCATCTTCAGGACACTGAAGTATATTAACAAGAGCATACATATTAGAATGATCTTTTAAATGAGGGGTTTTGATGAAAACAAAATAAATTATGTAAAATAACAATCGTTGAAAATAAAACACTTCTAGCACTTTACAGAAAACAACATTGATAGGTACTTACATTCAGGGTGGCTTTCCGGGTTTAAAAATGGTGAAATACATCAACATGCAGTATAAATACTTATACACAGGTTCATGGAAGGCATTAACACAGACATGAACACGTAGAAATGAACAAACTGAACTGTCACTGAATCGTTTCTTTATATTGTACAAAAGCCTCGTGAGAGAAATAATAATCGGGATTGGAAAAAGTCGTCTGCTAATGATTTGGAATCAATGTTTGATTTTTTTCTATTAAATTGAAATATGAGGTGTGTAAATTCTCAATATCCGATCTTCAATATTGTCTCTATTGTCTCTTGAACGAAATGATTGAAATGACAAAACATGGAACAAAATGTGTTAACAAAAGATCGGATATTGAGAATTCACACACCTAATATTTCAATTTAATAGAAAAAATCAAACATTATTTCCGAATGATCAGCAGACGACTTTTTCCAATCCCGATTATTATTTCTTTCAGGAGCCTTTTTTACAATATAAAGAAAGATTTAGCGACAGTTCAGTTTGTTCATTTCTTCGTGTTCCTATCTGTATTAAGGTATTTCATGAACCTGTGTATACGTATTTATACTTAGTGTCGATTTTATTTATTTCACCATTTTTAAACCCGGAAAGCCACCCTGAATGTAAGTACCTGTCAATGTTGTTTTCTGTGAAGTGCTAGCAGCGTTTTATTTTCAACAATTAATTCCTTTTGTTTTTATCAAAACCTCTCTTCTTGAAATATCATTTCAATATGTATGTTCTTGTTTTTATACTTCAGTGTCCTGAAGATGAAACAATAAAGTTTCGAAACGTCGACAATTCAACAATTGAATCGATTATTATTAAAAGGAAGTAAGCTACAAATCGGCCATTTTGCGATTAATATATTTTCGCAAGCTTGATACCAAGGTGCATCGTTTAAGAATGAGGAATGTATACTATACTCGATACTAGATATTTCGAGTGGGCCGGAAACAGTATATTTTCAAAAGGTACTTTGTTCATGCACTTGGTACCTATTAATAATTTCCACCTCTGAATGCAAGCTACCTTGTTCATGTACTTGGTTTCTTTTAATAATCCCACATCTGAATGCTGACAAGCTGACAGTTGATCTATATGGTACGATATGGTATCATTCTCCACCAATGAAACTCATCACATTATACACGATAAATCTAATCCTGGCTTCACGAGATCATCCGATTTTGCTACTATCAATGGACTGATAAAACAAGCTGCATCTGACAAACAAAATAAAAAATATACCCCTTATTTCTATTCTTTGTACTTAAAATAAAACACCCAAAAAAACTGAGTCAGTGGGTGGATCAGGATAATATTCCATTGTATTGAAACTTGATATAGATACTTCAGAATCAAGGGCAAAAACGACACGAATTCAACATGATTAATTCGATATTTTTGACGAGGATTTATGTCTCTTTCTTCCTCGAAATGAGTTCCAAAGTTTTAGTACTCATATGTTATGTTAAATTTTCCCTCGAATTTTCCCATTCAGTTATTATGGATTCAGAAAATTGATTATTGTGAGCAATACAGGGTTTTTTCAAGTTTTCTCAAAACTATATAAATGTCCTTTGATCCCGTTTGATTCCTTTTGATAATAACCGATTCAATTGGTTTTCTTCAACATTTCGACCGAATTACCGCTCAGAAACACCAGAAATAGTTATTTGTTTCACTAGGCAGCAAAGTAGTAGATTGACTGCCGCGGCTGATAGTTCATAGGAATTCAGCCAAGGCTGTCATGTGAAACATAATTTTTTCTCCAAATATTATGAAACCAATTTTGTGTAATTTTTCATTTTGTATCCACCCAATGTCAGTGTCAATTTTGATTACCAATTTTCGACCAATTTCATTCAAATTACTTGGAATCTTGCATAGCAACAAACTTTTCCTGCCTAGGCAGAGAAAGTACACCTTTCCTGCCTGTTAAGTGTCAGAAAAAAGCCACATTCTATGCCACTTGGAGAAAATAGTTATTTGTTTTACTAAGTAAGTAAGTAAGTAAGTAAGTAAGTAAGTAAGTAAGTAAGTAAGTAAGTAAGTAAGTAAGTAAGTAAGTAAGTAAGTAAGTAAGTAAGTAAGTAAGTAAATAAGTAAATAAATAAGTAAGTAAGTAAGTAAGTAAGTAAGTAAGTAAATAAGTAAATAAGTAAGTAAGTAAGTAAGTAAGTAAGTAAGTAAGTAAGTAAGTAAGTAAGTAAGTAAGTAAGTAAGTAAGTAAGTAAGTAAGTAAGTAAGTAAGTAAGTAAGTAAGTAAGTAAGTAAGTAAGTAAGTAAGTAAGTAAGTAAGTAAGTAAGTAAGTAAGTAAGTAAGTAAGTAAGTAAGTAAGTAACTAGGCAACAAAGTAGTAGAATGACTGCCGAGGCTAATAGCCATGGCAATCAATCTACATTTGCTGCCGTGTGTGAAACATATAAGTTTTTCTCCAAATGTTATAAAACCAATCTTGTGTATTTTTTTTAGAAAACTCCTCGGAAAACTCCATAATTTTGTGTTCACTTAATCCGTGATAATTTTGATTACTGTTAAGTGTCAGAAAAGCGACTTTCTATGCCATTGGAGAAAAACCATTTTCCTTGATCTTTTCATTTTCCATAAAGTAATAAAAACATCTCTTATGAGTGTTTACTTCTTCCTGTTAATTAGCAACTGAGTTGATGATTAGAAAAATTAAGAAATGGTTAGAATAAGTTGGAAACTGTAAACCCGGATTGAAAGAATAAAAAATAATAACAAAGTAATAGCAACTTAATCCAAGTATATGGATTGAATCATAAAAAATATACCATAATGAATTTGAGCATCATTTCTGATTATATCAATTATATGAACCTCATGCAAAAACTTCACAAATGATAAGATTTCCACAAAATTTTTATCCTGTATCACCCCTATTGTTTTCCTTTAAATAATCTTAAATCTGATCATTGACAGTATTGTAGATATTGATAATGAAGTAGAATAAGTTATCATGGGATCATGTTCCCAAGAAAATTGAATTATAATTTGATACTGGCATCCCTCCTCCTGCTACTGAACAGTTATATCTTGCATACTACAGATTGCCAGGGGGAGAATTGAAGAAACAGTAGAATCAACAGTAGGTTGGTGAATTATAATATATTTCATGATCTTGCATAATATGATACAAGGAAGAATAAAACATAAATGTAGTATTACCCAGATTATTTCATTCACACCCGGTTGGACCTATGAAATGTCATGATTGAAGTCACATGATATGCGATATCAGCGGCTATTTAGGTAAACAAACAATATGAGCGGCTATTCTGTTCGCCAGCATAAGAGTGCTATGGTTGTCAAACTTTGACATACCTATCAGTCACACAAAAATTGAAATGTCTTGTTTTGGGTCAACTTCCACTACGGAAATTCGTAATTATGTGAGCCAATCGATATCAGAAAATAACAAGGAGAGTAAATATAGTCTGTCTGGAACAATCCATGTTTTTTTGCCAGCAGAAAAACTATGAAGTTTGTGCGACTACTCCATCTCTCGTGATTGCCCAAATCCTAAAAGATTGGGTGAGGAGAATTGTGAGGAATATTAGGAATACACAGTTGAAATTGATATGGAAAATCATATACAAGAAGGTAACTTCAATGAACATAAACGTTAGACAAATCCATTTGAATATATCGAATTCAAAGGTGCCAGGGTTGCGCATAATGCAAAAAGGCGAAGCCTACAATATTTTCGTCAAACAAGAAAGGAAAGTACAGAAGCTCTAATCAAAGAATATTAACGCTATCAATAGCGTTAATATTTTTTCTTTGCTCTAACTTTAGATGAATTGATTAAAAATTGTACGTAGATATGATGAGAATACCCCAGACGGCCTTCGAAAGAATTTTTATTCAAATAGTATCTGCAGAATTGTAACTTGAATGAAATGTTGAAACTCATATAAATCAGTATTTTTGCATTGTTCATGAAATAATCTTCCTGAATATCACTCGACCATGACAAATGGAGACTATTATTTTCGTTAATTCATCTCGAGTAACTTGTATTTTGGGACAATTCAATTCGACCATATGAACATAAATAATCATAGAATAACTCCCTCGAGCTGAAGCTCTCGGGAGTTATTCAGATTATTAATGTTCATATGGTCTCATCAAATTGTCAAAATACAAGGTACTCTCGATAGAATTATGACGAAAATAATAGTCGGCTATTTGTCATGGTCTCGGGATATTACCTGCGACTATTACCCGAGCTATTACCTAAATCACTGGTAGGTATGATTTATACTCGGATTTATAGCATTGTCATAACATGATATAATATTTGGTAAAACTGCATTTAGCATGCGATGGGTTTTATTTCGAAAATTTTTTTTGTTACTTACGTATTTTTGTCTGAAAAACACGAATTTGATAATGTAAATGTGAACAAACCACTATTTATCGAGATATCTCAAAAAAAAATTCAAAATTTCGACTCCTTTTTCCCCTTGCGTTGGATGCATTTTCAGGTACTTGCTCTTCTTATTTTGTCTTTGGACACTTTATATACTCATGATGTACTTCAATGACACATTTTTATACAGAAAATTCAACAGAAAATATAATTTTTATGGTGAGTTTTTCCTATTTAGTGAGCAAGCATACCAGATGACGGCCATTTTATCCATAGGCAATTCAAATACGAGATGTCAAATGTCAATAGATTGCTTTTTGGAATGACATTACACACGCCATTATTTCAAATGATATTCTTCCTTCTTTTCAATAAATATGGATAAATCACAAGAAAATCATATTTCTAGTTGACTCAATAATAGAAAAAAATGTGTCTTACATTGTGATATATATAAATTGTCCAATGATGAAAAAAGAAGGGTGAATTGTTTAAAATTCAATCCAGAAGACAGGCGGAAAAGAAGGTGAAATTTGAAACTTTATAGTGAAATATCTTGATAAATAATGGTTTGTTCACATTTTCATTATCAAATTCGTGTTTTTCAGACAAAAATACATAAGTACCAAAAAAAATTTTCGAAAAAAAACCCATTGCATGCTAAATGCAGTTTTACCTAATATTTATGTAGTTTATCATCAACTGGATATAAACTCTCCCTATCGCTCCCTATCCTCCCTAGGTATGCATGATGTTCCAGGAACATTATAGGAATTTCCTTTCATGCACTCCAAGAGATTGAAAAAAAAGTTACATGTATCTGAGGTTGTAGCTACCAGTGTAGCTATGAGTAAAATTTCTGAGTTTCACTTGCACAAAGTATCTCACTATCTCAGGGGCAGGGGTCCCCTTGAAGTTCATAACATACAGATAGTAGGGAGGATAGAAGTATTTTCAGAAGTAGTGCAATAAAGGTGAGTTCACCATGGGTGTGATGGTGTACCATTGGTGTACCTATACCTTGACCTATACTTATCTACCTTTTGGAGGTAACAACAACAACTATCAACCTTTTGATTAACCCATTATATCTTTTATGTTAAAATGGTCTAGGAATTCAGTAAGTGACTCTAGTTTCACTATTCATACATACATGTCTGTTCATTCGAAAACAACAGTTTATTGGCTTATTGGCTGTGGAACAGCCAGTAAGCCTAATTACATACCTTGTAGAATCGAAAGAAATCTTTCAGCAACAAACTCTTCAGCCTGGGATAAACTTTCACATTATTGAAATGGTCAACAGTATCGATATTACAAGTGCATTCGTCTATTTTTCCCGACAGCTGACAAAAACAATCATCATGCTTTTCCACTGAGAAGTAGGCCAAACATTGATTAAACACGAAAACACTGACTAATGCATTTAGAACACTTTGTGATAACATCATTTTATGATCATGGCGAGTAGAAACACTTCGAATATCTGAATTTACGTTTGTGAGGACAGGTTTATAGTAATTGATAAATTCTTATAATAAGCGAACCGCAAATGCACACGTGTGATCAGCTGTTGATCTGTCAAAATATACAGTTGGTTAGGTTAGGATTGTTAGGAACGGATCCTCGCGTGCGCAACGTCAGATTATTTCGCAGCGTTGCAAGATTTCGCCCGTTTCTCATAAACTCAGATGAAAATTTTAATTTTCATCAAAATTATGATATTTTTACGAAATGACTAATGAATGGCATATTATTGGGTGCTACAAATGCAGAATAACTAGCGGTGGTTCAAAATGGTTCTGGATGTTTTTATGGCTGATTATATCCAAAAACAACAATAACATACCTATGGTGGAATTGAAAAATGGCTCAGCCAATATTCTAGCCTTTTGAAGTTCTTCATCTTTATTTATCTACATTATATATTTTATGTATATTGCTGGAACTTCAATAAACATTTTTATTATTATTATTATTATATTATTTCTATTTGTAAACTTTTTTTTGAAAACACATATAAGGAAGACATACTCCTGAATAAATATCAGTTCTACACAGTGTATCAGTTATAATAAATTTGAGATGAACTTTACACATTTTATATTTTACCCATCTTTATGAGTGACGAGGTCGACTGAAAAATTTGTTTTGCTCTAGTAATTGCACGTTTGATATGTGAACCTTCCACAAGAAATGTTCCTCAGGAATTTCTACTATCATTCCATCACTAGCATTACCAGTCAGACGAACTCGACAAGCCCAGTCAGCACATCCTTTCGTTATCAACCTCGAAATATGTCGAACAACACTTCATCAATACTCGTTTGCCTATAGCTCTGGAATTCATTGCCTAAGGAAAAAGTTGAAAAAATCTAATACCCATCCTTTGTTTATGTCATATTTTCTAATCAAAAAATATCGTCAAAAAATTTTCACAGTTGATTTCATCATCAGGAATCATTCACGGCGTACGCCCTGTAACAAACTGTAGAATGATACATAAAATGAAATTTTCTGTATGAAATTATGCCTCTGTGCCGATTTTAATAACAATTGATGAATATACAGTGAGATTCCCTAATAACACACTTATGCCCCATGGATATCCTTAGGACGTCCTGTCGGGACATTCAGGACGTCCATAGGACGGTCGAATTTGGTACCGTGGACGTCCATTGGACGTCTGTGGGACGCACAAATGTCCTTGAGGGATGTCCCTGGGACGACTATCGAATACCTAAATCCTACAGTATTCCTCATCAAGCACTACAGAGGTCATCCTTTGGACATCCATAGGACAACCTATCAGCAACGCTGAGGGATATCAATTGGATGTCCATGGGAGGTCCCAGGGACGTACGAATTATTCTTGAATTTGAATTTTTCTGAGTCCCTCTAGGACCAGATCTTGCATAACTGATTAGGACATCTAGTTGAGTTGATGGTCCGTAGAAGGTCCCTACGAGCAATCATTCGTCGGCGAGGTGTAAGTTAACGTCCTCGCAGGGACAACATATTGAAAGTACCGACTGGGACGTCCATAGGACGTTATTTCTAGGACATTGGAAGAGGACAGTTCATGTACCAATTGGGATATCCGACGGATATCTCTAAGGGACATTCGAAGGATGTCCCTAAGGGACATTTCGACTGTTATACGATCCTGGAAATATTAAGGGCGTCTGTGCAGAGATATTTGAAGGAATGTTCCATCAGGGACATTTCATGGTCGTCTAGAAGGGACATTATATAAGATCTCAAGTCATGCCAGAATATGTACTACTCGGGACATCCGATGGAGATTATGATTGTTTTGATTTTAAATATTCAATAAGGAGAAAAAAGTGGGTAGATGCAGTAAAAATCACAATTTTTTTCAATCATGAAAACAGTGAATGCTATCGAAACTGAACATGAGTAAACATATTGAGATCTCCATATTTCCTGGTCAAACTGCCAAAAATTCCATGAACAATAAAATTGGGGAAAAAAGCGCCCCATGTCCCTCTATTTTTAACGCCCCTGGCCACATTCCTAACATTTTCAAATTGAGCATAAACAGTTAGGATACAGGATATTAGCCCTTTTCGTGGGAACCAGAACATAAAAAAAAGATGTACCAACATGTAAAAAATTTGGATGGTTTATCACACAGGCATCCGAGTATAATTACAAAAACCTACATCTCGACCTCGCATTCAGATGGCTAACCCCCTGAGGGGCCATTTCTGGACCCATGTCTATATAAACAATGTTTACAATTTTTGTTCATAGAATCTGCAGTTGAAATATTTCTACACGTAATTTCGAGACCCTGTATATTGTTACGATAAGTGAAGTGTTAATAATACCTATACCTTGTTCATGATCTCATGAATCATGATCATTTCAAAATGAATTGAATTCGTAGATTTTTTGTTGATCTGAGATTAAACCAAATTAATAGATATGCTCAGTATATAACATTTTTTCTTGGAGTTTCGAACTGGCAACACTGAACTGCGGCATAATATTCTGATCATCTCATACGACCTTGATTATTAGTGGATTGGATTAGTTAGTGGGGCGCCTACAGCGAAATATTTGTTCGTTTTGCCACAGATTATGTTAATCTGTGGTTTTGCCTTTTGAAAATTGAATTCATAAATGTGTGTTACCAATGATGCAACAAGTTTTGTCACTCTCCCTCACATGTTATCCAATTAAATCTGTTGATTTTTTTTCAATTCTTGAAACCTATACCAAAGTTAGTTATGTTATATGCTGTTTGTCGGCAATACGTGAATAAATGACTAGGCATTCCAGAGAATGACGGATTTCACAGTTTGACCCCGACATATACATACTTCTCTACTTAAATCATACAATTATAAATTAATAGGTATGCTATCATACAGGGTATCCGTAAAAGGTCTGTACAAAATCTTAGCACATGGTTCTGAGGTCAAAAATAAGCCGATCTAAGGGAACTTACCTTAGTCCAAACTCCGTTTCCGAGATACAGGAAGGTAAATTTAAAAAATAAAAATCGATTTCACTTTAAATCGGCTTTTTTTTATCGCTTGGAGCGCACGAAAGGGAATCCCTATAATGTTCAAAGAACATCGTGCTTATTTTATACAGACGTTTTATGGACGCCCTGTATGATGGGAGGGATATCAAGGGGACTGTTCGAAGCAACTAACTGGTTCACTCTCTAGGAGGGCTATGTCCATTATTTTCTCCCCAGTTGATATTATATGTATACAGGGTGGAGACTACAACTGGAATAAATTATTGGCTAGCGGGGAACCGAATGATTCTTCTGGATGCTCACCTACATTTTTTGAGCAAAATGAAGAATATAACCCTTTATAGGGGTAGCTGAAAGAGGAATCCAGCGTACTGACCAAATTTTAGTTCGCAGTATACCTTTAGGGGTTAGGGGGTTGCATAAAATCAAAATATAATTTTAAAGTGCAATATATTTTCAACGTATTTTCATCAAGATTTCGATTTTTAGCTACAGTACTCTAAGGTATTTCCACCTGTTTGCAATAACATTTCGTTTCGAACTGTGATAAAACGGCATAAAATCTGATTCTCTGCTTCTTGCGGCTGTATAAAACCACTGGCATACAATAGATGACACATATCTCGAGCAAAAATTGCTACGTTGGAAATCAATTGAATTTTGAAATTACATTTTGATTTTATGCAACCCTCAAAGGCTCAAACTTACAAAAAAAAGAAATTTGATCTAGTACGGTCATGGATTCCTCCTTCCACCAGCTTTCCAAATAGGGGTCACAAGCCATATGATTGCATTTGAAGAATACATGTTTGGGGCAAAATGTAGGTAAACACATTAAAATGTTGACCTAGTTAATATGTCGGGAATTTAAAAAAAAATCACCACTCCTCTGTATTCATTCATTATCAACGATATGAATTATTTGTCATTGAATCAAACTCCGAACCGAATGAATCAATAACTCTCTACTATAATGATGTAAACAGAACTAGTACGTAAGTAGTACGTGAAATTCTCACGTTCAGAGATATTTACACATTGTCTACGTGTATCTGTTCACAAACTTCAAAGTCGAAGCTTGATACCCATATGGACCTGATGCCATGATTTCATTGAGAAACGATGCGATATAAATCTAATCGCACTAATCGGTATACCTACACATACCGGGTGGCACATTCAAGACGATCCACTCTGAATAATATCTGAAGGCATGATCGAATGAAAAAATGCTTAGACACGTCAACTTTAATTTGTAGGGGGACATAATTCGAGATTGATTTGTTATCTGTCTTGACTTCCCCCTCCCCTTGAGAAGCAGCCTTTCAAGAATTTCAAATGGGAAAAGAGGTCGAAAGATATTTCCACCCCGTGATGGCGGTGTATATAATTTCAACCATCAATTGAATTGAACCCTGTATACAGTGTGTCCCACTTACCATGCTCACCATGGGTATCTTTTTAACGGTGAGAGATACGAGGTCGGTTAAATGACACCAAATGTGGAGTTTGTCAAGGCCAACTATAATGTGAAAAAATATTTCGATAAAATCTATTCGTTTTTGTTTTATTCGCAAAAAACAGATTTTGATCATTTTCATGTCTCCTCCGCAACTTCTTTATTTATGAAAATATCCAAATAGGAATCTCACATTCTCATGGCAGTTTTTCAAAGTGATTTCGCAAAAAATATGTAATTCATACCAACTCTTCTAGAATTTGAGATATCAGCACCAACTTTAGTTTTTCAAATGTAGGTCATAGCTCACTATGACTTAGTTACAAATAACTTTTATTTCTCTTACCGATGATATGTCGCAGTAATAGTTTTGTGTTGATAACAACGGAGTTATCGTCATTTATACAAATACAAAAAATTATTTGGAAGCCGCCGTCTTGAATTTATAAATTTTAACGAAAAAATCATGATCTCCG